TCCTGGCTTTTCCTTATCGTTGTGTCTCTTTCTGTATCCCTTGACCTTGGCTATTCCTGACTATTCTTTGGTACGTTAGTCCGGCCATTATAAGGTCCGGTATACGTTACCTATCAGTCCCCTGTGTTACACAATTCTACGTGCTGGATCATTCTGTAATCCTGACATTACGACATGGCCATAGATCCTGTAGAATTGTGTAAGCACATAGCTGCTTGTGAAAGGAAACTGGAGGATAATGATCACCGCATGGATCAATTTGCCCAGGCCTTCAGTACGCTTCTTACCCTAACAGCGTATCTGCAACCTGCGGCCTCACCTCCGCCTTGTGTACCTGCAGCTATAGTACACAAGGCACCTACTATCTCAACCCCTGCATTTTGATGGTAATATTCAAGAATGCCGGGGATTTATTAACCAAAGGGAGTATCATTTTGAGGCCTCACCAGGATCTTTTCCCACAGGCAGAGCTAAAATTGGTTACCTAATGAATCAATTAAAAGGTAAAGCTTTAGCTTGGGCCAATCCATTATGGGAGAGTAATAGTAGTGTGGCACACAATTACCAGGAGTTCCTTACGGAATTCAAACTTACGTTTGAACCTTTAGGCAGAGAGGATGACTCCTCTACCGCCCTGATGCACATCAGACAAGGGAACCGGTCTATCTTGGAATATGCCTTAGAATTTCGTACCCTAGCTTCCGAGGTAGACTGGAAAAATAGTGGGTTAATCTCTGCATTTAAAAAGATATTATCTGAAACTATGCTAGATGAGATTGCCGCCAAAGACTTACCCAAAAAGCTTAATGAATTTATCACTTTTGTCATGCAGATTGATAATAGATTAAGAACCAGAGAAGCTATTAGAAACAAGACCAGACGCATGAGTATGCATTTAGTACCCCGTTTCTCCAGACCTATTGTCCCTGAAATTCCTGTAAGGTCCGAACCCGAACCCATGCAGTTGGGGGTCACTAGACTGTTGGAAGCAGAAAGACAATATAGGAAAAAAGAAGGCCTGTGTTTAAACTGCGGTAGGAAGGGACATATGAGAAACAATTGTCCCATACGTCCGGAAAACTACCGAACCTAAGCACCTTAAGGGGACAGGTCTTAGGTGTAATGGAAACATCCTCTGAAAAGAATAAAAATAGGTTTCTCATTGACATTTCTATCGCCTTTGACAAAAAGAACTTTTCATGCAAAGCCCTGATGGATTCAGGTGCTGCTGGAAACTTCATCGATGTTCAGTTTGTCAAAGTTAATACTATACCTATCAAAAAGAGACTATCACCCCTAGCTGTTGAAGCTATTGATGGGAGACCACTCTCACAACCATTGATAACGCATAA